CACGACTTGTATCTTACAATAGTCCCTCATACATTTTTATCATGTTGATAATGGTATTTAGCTGTTGCGAAATGTACAAGCCAACGTACATATTATATGTACAATGCACAAGCTAACACACATATTATACTTAAATATTGTTATTTAATCATAATATTTATTCAAAACATGTTCGGTACAACCTTGCTCTTTTAAGGGCTTGTCGTTAATATTTGTAGCTCTACCCACCAAACTAATGTTATTCCCTACGGTACCATTTGGGAAAGGGTTAAGTGAGAGGTTAAGGAGACTTTAACCCCCTTTTATACCGCAAATAGAAAAAATCTATACAAAGGTTAAAGTGAGTTAACCTTCCATAATTTACCAAACATAAATAATATAGAAGGGTTAAGCTAACCCCTCTAGAGGGGTTAAAATCAGTTAACCCATCAAAATAAGGGGTTTACTAATACTCTTATTTTGAAGGATTAAGAGTTAACCCTTCTAATTATAAAAAAAAGTCAAAATCCTTATTATTCCCAAACACTAAAAATAATCACATGGGCTAAAACAAAACTTCTATAATGGGTTAATAATTTAGTCCTTCGGAATATCAATTAGGTTAACTGTGTTAATTCTTCTCCTTGATCCCTCTTCCTTAACCCTTTACCAAATGGGACCTTCAGTTGTAGGGTTTATTGCCGATACGACCTAAAAGGAATTTAGACTTTGCCATCATGATACTAGCTCAGCGCAGTTGGCAACTGCTTGTGGTCATATTGACTGAACTTCAGTAAACTTGTCATCCATGCCATTTGATTACCATGCACAAATGTGAACTTCATCTCCATCACCTCCGCCTCATCATCTACATCACTGTTGCCTCATCACCACCTTCGCCACTGACGTTATCATCATGAACACCACGTCGCCATCACTGCCATCGTCATCGTCTTCAACCTCATCACCACCATCATTGCCACCTCATCATCGCAATCATCACCTCCCTCGCCTTCTTCACCGTCATTGATATCACGGATGACCTCTCCCACTATCGTAGTTGCATCCTCCGAACCGCACATCACGAGATCCCATTGGGTGCACCAAGAGTGCGGCGACCATCAGCAACTTCATTGGCGGTCTCGCCGTACTAGGCAATGAGCACTGCTGCCTCCTCCGCCTTTAAAAGCACCGTCCACGTGTGGTGTTGTCTTCGGTCGCCGAGAGAGGGAGGACTGTTTAACCGTTCCCCTCTAGATGGATGACACGTGGCATCCTTTGCCACGTATGGTCCAAAGGCTTAATAAAAAAACACATTCCCATTATTTTTAACAGAATGGAATCAAAAGGCTGAAATCGGTAGTTTTGGCAATTTTGCATCAAGGACCACTCCTTACATATAAATTCCTTGCGTCCACATTCTCTTTACTTTTAGGTCCAAGTCATTCTCCCTCCTCAAATTTCTTTAGTCTAGAGGGTTGACACGTTGCCGGATTGTTGGACAAGTCTTATAAGTTTATTTAGGACTCAGGGATTGTCTCGAGAGTCTTGCTATATTTCTTTTCATTCCTATATTTTGAATCAATAAAGTTCATTAGTTTGACTCCTTTCTTGCATTTTAGTTCAATTTATGCATCTTTTACATTTTTTATGTTAAAATTGCAATTCTAGTCTAAATTTTAATTAACTTGTGGTTGCATTTCTTATTTGAAAACGAACATAGTTAATGATTAAGATTCGTAGTAATTTTATTACTCTTAATTTGTGTTAGAATTAATATATTTTTAATCTTGAAAGGAATAACCTATGATACCAAGCACCACCTTTGTAAAAGACTTCCCATTTCATATGCTTAATTTGACATTGAACAGCCGCAACCTGGCAAAAACAAGATTCAAACTCTTAACCCTACCAAACTATTATGCTAGAGTAGTGAGCATATTTTAATTTGAGGTTAGCCAAGACCTCTCTCCAGAGGTGACAATGAAGCTAAGGAATTTGTATGACTCAACCCCAAATGTGTATCTCTTTGTTGAACTTCACAGCATAATAACATTTGTCAGTCCAAATATGCCACACTAGTCTTTTTCCGTCTAAAGAGCTTGTGCTACCTTCTACCTCATTCACACTTTACTCTTAACTAGGGGTGCTAAATGGTTCAGTTTTATTCGAACCGATCTGCATCCATATCCCAACGGATGCAGATATGATAAGCTATTTTTAAAACCGAATGGATATGGTTTCGGATACAGATATGGTTTAAATTTCCGAATACAGATTCGAATACGGAGATGAGTGTAAGATTCGGTTGCGGATACGAATATCCGTAATTTAATAAACATAAGAATTCGGGTCCATTTAGATATCCAAAACCAACCCAAAAGACAAAACTCAAACACAACTAAAAAACCCTAGCCTCCACTATCGGGCCCCCCAGTTCGCCGCCTGTTCGTCGCCCACCGTTCGCGCCCACTAGTTCTACAAACCCAACTAAAAAACCCAAACCCGACTCCCTACCCGTCGCCTACCTCGTCGCTGCCAGTTCGATTGTCTCAACTTTGCTGCACGCCGTCAGAGATTCTAAGCATGGGTGTTTTCAATGGCGAGATCACGTCTTCTGCTCGTGATTTTTTGTTTGATTCAGGCAAGAAATCTAGGGCTTTTTCCTTTTAATCCTCATCATCTTTAATGCGGTTGGTTTTGATTGCTTGGATTAGTAATTGGACTCGATTAATTGCAGTGAGAACTCTGTAGATCGACATGGATTAGTAATTTGAGTGCTATGGATGATTTTTTCCTCATTTGATTAGGATTCTGTTATTGATCATGTTTATTCCATGGATTTTTGTTCTTTGATTCTAATTACAATAGATTCTTTTGGACTTCAATACATTTATGCAAGGAGAAGCCTACAACCACATACATTTACCCATTTGGTTGTAATTTATACATAGATGTACTAATTCATATCTGATTCATATCCATCTGTCGAATATCCGTTTCATATCCGTGATCGTATCCGATCCGATTCTCAAATATTCGAACCATATCTGTTTCCGATGAGTGCGGATATGGTTATGTTTTTTTCTTACCGAAGATAATCTGTATCCGTATCCGTTTATAGAAAGCGGATATGGATATTGTAAGTGTCATATCCAACGATATCCGCTCCGTTAACACCCCTAATATAATAGCAACTCTATTGATTTGAGGGACTAATTTCAAAATAGAGTAAGATTTGGGAGACTAAGCACCAATTTCAATGACCTTAAGGGACTAATTTTAAATATAAAAGATTTAAGGGGATAATATAAAAAATTTCTTATAAAACTCATTTTGTATTTTAACATTTAGGCATAAAGTCTAAATGGCAGCATTTCTTATGTAACTTTCTATATTTTTGTTCCCAGTTATTAAATATATGTATATGTTTAGAGAAAAGGTGTACAACGTAAATTGCTATATTTTTTATAACTTGTTATATTTTTGCTAAGTGATTGAGTAATAATTTATTTTTACATGAAATTCCTAGGTCATTAAATTTTCTCTATATCACTCTAATGTTGTGGGCATCACGAACTGTTAATGGATTTTTAGCCTGTAAATGTCTTTGACGAATTTTAAACAAATTCACCTTCTAGAAGTTGATTTTGTATGTAATCACAATATTTTATCCCAATTTATTTTTAAACCAATCCGCTTCCAAAATTATTCTTAAATTCACACTTTAACAAACTAATTTTAGAGGTAATTTGCATTTTGACAGTTTAATAGATGGTGTTCATTGCTATATTTTGTTGTAGTGTCCTATATTTTTGATGTAGAGTTTTAAGTATTTTGTTGTATTTAAACAAAATACTTCAGCTTTATTTTTCAAAAAATTTTCACGCAAAATGTCGTGGCATCACACTGGTCAATTTTGCTTGCTACAAACTAAAAAACTTTAACGGAAATGGCTTTTGAGAATTCTTTTATCAAAAAGTACAAGTAACACCTTGAAAGTTTAAAAATTTACAGAAAGCACTTCCGAAAATTGAAATTAACAATGAATCCTTGTTTGTAAGTTTTGACTTTTTCGGGTGTTTTCTGTAAAATTTGAATCTCTAAGGGTGTTCTTAGTAATTTTTGAAATTCTAGGGTATTTTTTGTAAATTCTAAAACTTTCAGGGGGATGTTTGTAATCCTATATTGTCAATGTAATTTTATAGGTTTGAAATTTTAGGGTGCTTTTTATAATTTTTAAAATTTAAATCATGTTCTGTAAATTTTGAAACTTGTAGGGTGTTCTTAGAAAATTTTAGTTTGTGCATGAGCATTTAATAATTGTGAGGAGGTTAGTTTATAAGTAATATTTTAAGGCGGTTATTGTGGATATGTCATGTTATAAAGACAGAAGAGGATCATGGTGTCACTGATATAGTGTTTTAGATGATTTGAATTGTATTTGGTAAGTATCAGCAACAAACTAGTGTTTGATTAGGATTCGAATGATCCAATTTTAGGAAACCGGGTTCGTGTACCTAATTAGATTAGGTATCCAAACCCAATATGGTCGAATTCTACCTAGTCTCACTTCTCATTTCAATTTGTTAATGATTTGAATTATAGTGTTTTAGATTGTGGTGTGTCACTGATATAGTGTTTTAGATGATTTGAATTATTAACAGGTATTGGTAACAAACAAGTGGTTGATTAGGATTCGGATGATCCAATTTTAGGAAACCGGGTTCGGGTACGTAATTTGATTAGGTATCCAAACCCAATAAGGTAATTAATCAGAAGATCTCAGCCGTCCATCTACTGATTGAGCATATTAGCGTAGATCTGCCGCTGTCTTAGTTTGGTTTTGGCCGGATTTCCCCCCATAAATACTCTCTTCCGCTTCTCACTTTCAAAATTTCTCCGATCAAAGCTAGGGTTTCAAATTTGCGCCGCCGATTTCTCAAATTGCAAACCCTAGCCCTAATTTCTTCTGTTACAAACCTTGATCTTTTCCTTCCCCTAGCTCAATTTGATCGATGATGGAGATGCCTTCTTATCCTGGGATCGAGTTTAGCCCTAGGGATGATCACCAGCTGACTTTCTACCTCCCCAGAAAGATCGCCGAAGGACGAGATGCCCTCGCGATCCCAAACTTTCTGATGCATGATTTCGATGTGTATTCGACCGAGCCCTGGAACCTGCCTCGTAAGTAGTTTCAATGTCATTTATCTTTTGATGCATGCCATTTTGGTTTTTCTTTTTAGGGTTTTTAGGGAGCTTAGGATAAGGATAGAAATTAGATCGATTTATCAAGAATGCATCTTGATTATGTGGTTTTCTAGTTTTGTAATTCTTTTTGGTTGATGATTATCTGCCTAATTTTCTTCTATTCCGCAGAACGTTGAATTGCCCTTGTAAAATTAATTTGCTTAGTTGGTTGCTTTAACATCAAATCAGTTGTATTGACTATATATTGTAATTACCTCGAGCCCAATTAGCTCCCTATAGTTGCTCATTTAATTCCTTGTTTCATTCTGAGGTCCTACTCTACTTCGTTGCATGCTGAATAAGATTCTTGTCACGAATAATTGGTTCTGATGGTGATTTCGAATGGATTCGATCGCTAGACTGTTTGGCTGTTACATGGAACCATGATCGAATGCAAGCATCTCTGATTTAAGAAACTAGCTTAGGGTAGAGATAGAAGAGTGGGTCACATAATCAACAAGATATCTTGATTGGATGCTCTCACGCTTTGTGCTTTTTAAGGTTCACCAATTAATTTAAGTAGTATTTTATTCTAAAAGATGTAACCTTTTTTATTTTTGGTGTAAGAAGACAGCTGTATGCTTCTTAACCTCCCAGGCTATGCACGTTGCTTATTTCCTGACTTTCCTATATGTACTTAGGATTATTGTCTTTGCATAAAGATTTGGCGTATTAGCGGAATATAGGAGCAGTTGAAAAGTTAGTCTAGAGGTCATAAAAATGCAAGTTTTACAGGTTTTTCATATGAAAGAAGAACCTGAGTTATAAGAGGCATACTAATTTATTAATTGATTCAAGTAAAGTATTCCGCATTTAGTATGTTTAACGGGAGTAATATTCATGCTTGTTTCCTTTTATTTCACTTGTCAAAACATGTAAAATTATGCTTGTTTCTGTTCTGAATTGGTCTGAGCTCAATTTGTACCATGTTCGGGTTATCGAATATTTATGTTTGAAGCATGCTCGAAACTTAACATCTGATTTCTTTAAGTCTAGTATATTTCCTGTGTTTCATGGTGCCTGCCAGTTCTGGATGATAAAAAATTGGCTAAAACTTGGAATCAATTCTTCATCAGAACTCTTACTGTGGTGCAGGCTTTATCTAAAAGTCAACTTTTCATCTTTTTATGATCTCGTATTTCTCTTTATACTTCATAACTTAGCCTTTTAGTTTTTCCCCCTATTTTGAAACATTTCCTTTCTTCCCAGTTAGTAATTAGCGTGATTGGTATCTTTGGTGATTTACTTGGGAACATATCTAAGATTCTGACACACTTGATTCATGGTTTTCAGGGGACACGTTTCGATACCAAAACAACAAGGACATGCATTTCTTCTCACGTAGACAACCAATCGGCACAAATTCTAAAAGGGTTCAGCGTACTGCTGGACAAGGTTTCTGGTATGGTATGAGATAAAAGGAGATGAAAAAGTCTACTGTGAATCTCAACATGTTGGGTATAAGACAGAAAAAGTCTACTGTGAATCTCAACATGTTGGGTATAAGACAATCCTGACTTTTAAATATACCAAGGGGGGCAAGGAGATCAACAACAACTGGATCATGCATGAGTTTCATCTCAAGCCTGCTGAGAACAGTAACAAGTTTGAGAGCATGGTAATCTGCAGAATTCATAAGAAGAAAACCAAGGAAGATAGAGAAGGAAGGCCAGATGTAGACTCTTGTGTTGCAGCTATTATTGAACAAGAAGAACAAGGAACGACGACACATGTAGACGAAAAACGGCAACACATGTAGACGAAAGGCCTGTAAAGTGGAAGCGGGTGGAGGCTTTGTCATCCTTACCATCCTTGTCATCATCATTGCCTGCATTTCTTCCCTGCAAAGAAGCAGAAACCTTCAATTAGTTGATTTCAACAATGCGTGAAAAGCGGCATACTGTTTTCGAACAAGAGGAAGAAGTGGATGAAAGGCATGTGATAAAGATCTTGCTTAAGGAACACGAAGCGATGACAAATCATTCTACGGCAGAATCTGGTGCTGCTACTCCTGTTTATGAACAAGCAGCAAACTATGTACAGGACATACTTCGAAAGAGGAAGTGGGCTGAGGGATGCAGCTACTTTTATGATACTGAGAACAGTTCGACAGTTAACTTGGAGGCATCTTCTTGGCCCTTGTCATCATCTCCGTACTTATCATCATCATGGCTTTCCTCTCCTGCTTTAGAATCTTATGAAGCATCTTCCTCATTGATGAATATTCTTCCACCAACATCACAGGATGATGGGACATGGGAGGATTTGGACATTGATGAGTTGATGGAATGTTTCACTGACTCTTGAGTTCTTAATAGTAAGTGTTGTATTGTCATTTTTTGGTAATAGAGTTTCTTTTTTTCTTCCATTCTTTTCGCAGGGTATAATCCGGTTTGTTGTATATTTTTTTTGTTTGTCCTGTGATTCTTAATGCTTATAATTATATTGTTTCGAGAGAATTGTTTAGAATTTGTTAATAATTAATTTCTTTGATTAATGTATGCAATTTGGATGTGATTGTTTTGACATGTCCCAAGCTTGAGTTCTATGGACATCGCGATACTCTCAACTGGAATTCTAAGTTAAGTAGGTTATTCAAGTTTCTGGTCCTTGTTTTCATTAACAATTCGGAACGCAAGGCTTTTTTTTTTTTTTTTGAGTAACAAGTTTATTCATATATAGTTGTTGCATTAGTTTGACAATCCTGTGCCTCATAGAATCAGCAGAAAGAAGAAATCTGAAGTGGATGCAGATGGATGCAGATGGCTGAAACTGTGTCATTCAGAGATCTGATTAGTGTTTGACTTATGATTTTGATTTATACGGATTTAACTCTTGCTCACATTAAGTAAGACCATTTCTGTCAGGTAAGCAGTTCAAAGAGTGAATAATGATAACCTTTTTGAATTAAAACCGTTTTCTTGCTGTAGTTATCTGGTAGATTTATTCAGGCATTTACCGGTTAGGACTTAGGATTAATGGTTTATGAGTTCAGCAATAGTCTGTGAAACTTAAGCTCTCTGCTGTAAATACTAACCAATTCCAGGTTCATGCAACATCCAAAGTAGGAATTAGAATGAGCTATGGAACAAGGCCGAATCCGATACTAAGTAATATGTGACACATTTCTGATATAGAACTGATTTGGCATCAGATATTTCGAATGCTAACAGTTTAATAAACAGAAAACTATATCGGAAGTTCTGAAGTAAAAATCCAACTAATTCTCACATGGTATCAGAAATTTTCTAATTTCAATACTCTTCTTTCTGATGGCAGTTGTCAGTCCGTTTTATTCCGCCCTTTTATTATAGAGAATATTATTCCATAGTAGGTGAGACTACTTCAAGGCTAAAAGCTTGTAGAGAATATATGACATATGTCCCGAATACCTTTTTGTATTTCTCTGAAAGAGATGGAAACAGTTATATGTGGGCATGTAAATATCACAGAGAAACACGAGAAGCTTCGTGTCGGTTACAGTGTCGAACTGTAAACATCGAAAGATATGAAATATTTTTATATTGGTAACTACACAGAGATATTTAAGATTCACGAATCTGATACTAAACTACATGTATCAGACTTCTGATACAGGACTGATATAGTATAGCAATCATATAATTTGCAAACAGTTTTAGAATCGAGATACAAGTTACTGTGTGTAGACTACAATGAAAGAATATCTGAAGTAAGAACCAGATAACTTCTCATATAGTATCAGACATTTCATCTGTTCAATCCTGTTCTTCTCATCAGCAGCTCAGTCTGACTGTTTGTCCCTCTGGTATATATGACCATAACGGGTCATATGCTATTCGAGGTGATTGCTTACATTTTTGATGATTTTACAATGTGCTGGTTTAAAGTGCTTTGAGATTGACATGGTACGATTTGTATTATGAGCTTATCAGGTTTTGGTGAGATTCAATGCGAGTTGATTGAATATCCCCATGATATTGGATATCTAATGTTGCTTAACTATAGGGAGTATTAAGAATATTTGTCCCTCAAACCTTCAATTACGCCATACAAGTCCCTCAAATCTTTAAAATTGCTCATAGGTCTCTTCATCCGGAAACAATCTATGCTTTCAAAAATTTTCATTGAACTAATTTTAAACCAAACTCCACTAGTGCTATTTGTCAGCATTGTTTGTCCCAAGCCAGGATAAAGGAGGAGGGTTGTGTTAGGTAGCAGGGGCGCAGCTGAACCGAAACTTCCGGTTCCGCAGAACAGGGCCCCCCATTCCAAATCGCGCAAATATTATACCAGAGGCGCCCCCAATTTCCAAATCGCGCAAAAAAGTCTCCTGCGAGCGGACTCAGCGGAGAACCTAGGGCGAGCGGCAGAAATTTAGTGTTTTTCCTTTTTCTTCGATTTTTCGCTCATAGATCTCATCAAATTAGGACGAAATTCGACTTCCCTCTTGTAGAAAAGATTCAGCTGCCCAGCACCTCATCAAGATTCAGTTCTTCTTCCTCTTCGAGCTCATCCCCTCTTGATTCAGGTAAACCGCACCTCTTTAGCTTGTCTTTTGTGTTTGATTCCATCCGTCAAAACCCTAAAGTTTCAGATTCTTGGGTTCGATGTTTTGGGTCTCCTCTTGATTCGATTTTGGGGATGTTTTAGGGATGATTGTTCATTATTTCTAACTTCTTATCCTTCTTTTCTGTCAGGTGCAGGAAGAACAAGACACAAGAGATGGCACAAGAGTTAGAAACCATTCCTGGTTTGGTGCTGGGCAATGGGTGCGATATCAACCTGTTGGCTGATATGGACTCGAATGCAAGTGGAGGTTCTTTGCACAAGTCCTTACAAGATTGGAGGGGCTGTCAGGTGCTGCAGTTGACAAAGTTGCAAAGGGATGCTATAATACAAGCAATGGAGGGCAGGAGAACTGAGTTCGGTTGAGTTCCAAGTTCTGAAGATGAGTTACAGGTTCTGGTCAAGTAAAGATGAGCAAATGAACTGATATGCAAATAATTGGACTGAAATGCAAAAGAGAGAGAACATAGAAGATTGAACTTTAGCACATTGTAAACAGCATAATTACAAGCAACTGTATTCAGTTAGAATTCTGTTACAATTCAGTTGGCACTGTTTGTGCACGTGCACGAACTCAGCTTACAATCAAATGATGTATAAACACAATGTTGTACAAGCACAAAAACTATAAAATGAATGAAATCTGAAGTTTCTCTTCCTCAACTCTAATTCTTGTCTTAATTCTTCTTCTCTATTTTCTCTCAAATTTCACCTCTTTTACTGTCTCAATTTTCTTTCATCTCTGTCTCAAGAACCTGCAGTTTTCAGTCATGGCTAGAAACAACAACTTGAGGATCAACCAAGGCTCTCGATCCTCACATTTTCCTTTCTTGAATCCAACAGGAACCGAAGTCCCCTTGTGCATGCGAGGATTTTGAGTTTTCTGCTTGATCATCTCTTCATCTTCAGGTACAATTCGTCCATATAGCTTCAATTCCTTTCAAAATTAGTCTTTAAATCTTGGAATGCAGTGAGATTTAGGTAATAGGTATATATCCCCAATTTTAACTTGGTTGTTTTGTTGAATTTGATTATGGTTAACCTTTATCAAATTGATTTTTCAAATTTGGTTGTTTTGTTGATTGTTTCCTATTTTATTATTTTTTGTTCAAGATTGGAAATAATGCCACCTAGAAAGTACAATCTGGAAGTTTGAAGAGGAAACAAAAAAAAGAGGAACAATTGACTCGATCATAACGAGGTGCTCTTGACAGGTTCTTTGTCAGAGAACGTCCAACTATTTCAACTGAAGATTTAGTTGATGAAGATGATGACAATGATAATGAGGAATTGATTGAAGATGAGGGACTTGATGAAAATCACGGTGATGATCCAAGTCCTAATGAGAATGATGACAATGCAGATGTTGATGATATGAATCACAATGAGAATGATGACACCGAATCTGATGAAGAAGGGCTTAATGAGAATTTGGATGTAGTTCTTAATGACTTAATTGAGGAACCAAGTGAGCAAGTTCCAGCGAACCTTTATGATCCTAGAGTTTGTTGTAAGTTGTTTAAGAAAAAGCCTATGATAACTCAGCTAGCAAATGAAAGATATAATGATTGGTCACATGTGGGTGTGCGGCTTAATGAACATGAAGTTAGTAAGGCGCATATTCATAACATGGCTACTTGGATTGAGTTGTAGCTTAGATTGGAAAAGGGTTAGACAATTGACAAATCTTTCCAAGATCATATCATGAAAGGGAAGGAGCATTGGAGAAAACTGTTATGAAGGTTGATTTCAATTGTGAAATATCTTGCAAAATATAATTTGGCTTTTCGAGGCAAAAATCAGAGGATTGATAAAGAAATCAATGGAAATTTTATGGAATTAGTTCAGATGGTGGCACAACATGATAAAGTGATGGAGGAACATCTTCGTCGCATTCAGAATAAGCAAATCTGTTATCATTATCTAAGTAACGTTATCCAAAATGAGTTGATACTCATGATATCTTTTGAAATCCGAGGTGCAATCATATCTAGGGTTAGAGAAGCTAAATACTTTTCTGTTATACTTGATTGTACTCCTGATATTAGTCACCAAGAATAGATAACTCTGATTTTGAGATGTGTGGATGTCACTGCTAGTCCAGTTAAGGTGGAAGAGTATTTCATACAATTTTTGACTGTGGATGACACAAGTGGCCTTGGACTTTTTGAGGAGTTGCAGATGGCTCTAACGGGTCTTGGTCTTGATATTGATAATGTTTGAGGACATGGATATGATAATGGATTGAATATGAAAGGCATAAGCAAGGTGTACAAAGTAGAATTCTGGATATTAATCCAGGAGCATTTTACACTCCATGTGTTTGTCATAGCCTTAACTTAACCCTTTGTGATATAGCAAACTGTAACGTCAAAGCTTAGGATTTCTTTGGAGTAGTACAATGAATTTATTCCTTGTTCGCAAATTCTACAAAACGTTGGAAGATTTTGATGGATAATCTTATAGGAGTTACTCTCAAGCCATTATCGACCACACGTTAGGAAAGTCGTGTTGAAAGTGTTAAGGCAATTCAATCACAACCTCTACAGATCAGATCAGACAAGTTTTACTTCAATTAGCAGAAAATGACAAGACACAAAAATAAGAAGTGAAGCTAAATCTTTAGCAAAGTACGAGCTTGGGGATTTTGTGCCTTTATTAGGCATGACTATTTGGTATAAGATATTGGTGACTGTTAACAAGGTTAGTAAGCGTTTGCAAGAGAAAGACATTCTAATCGATGTTGCTATAGAATTAGTAAATGGCCTGAATGTTTATTTCAGAAAGTATAGAGAAACTGGGTTTGCAGAGGCCATGATTACTACCAAAACACTTGCTGCTGATTTAGGAGTTGATCCAGTATTTCCTGAGAAGCGACAAATCTTTAGAAAAAAACATTTTGATGAGGTTGGAGCTCAGTCATCAGAGTTAACTCAGCAGTCGGGTGAGAAAAATTTCAGAGTTCATTATTTTCTATTACTGGTAGATCAAATTATTAGTTCATTAGAGAGAAGATTTGAACAACATCAGACATATGAGAATATTTTTGGGTTTTTATTTAGATCGGAAAAGTTATGTACATATCAGAATGATGATTTAAAAGCTTGTTGTGTTAATCTTGCAAACAGTCTTTAGAAAGGAAGTTGTTCTAATGTTGATGGAGATGAATTATTTGCAGAGTTGCTAATCTTACGAAATATGTTGCCACCAGAAAATATGAAAGTCATTGACGTATTGAATTTCTTGAAGAGGATGAATTGTTTCCCAGCCGCTAGTATTACATATAGAATCTTGTTGACTATACTTGTCACAGTTGCATCGGCAGAAAGGAGCTTCTCAAAGTTAAAGATATTAAAATCATACTTGAGATCAACCATGTCGCAGGAGAGGCTAAACGAACTAGCTAGCTTTGCTCTCAGTTGAAAGTGGATTCTTAGACAAGATTGATTATGAAGCTTTGATTGATGACTTTGCAACAAAAAATGCAAGGAGAAAAGTTTTCCAGTGAAGTTTTTGATGTGGGACATGTCAAGATTATTAGTAAGATGTTGATTTTGTGTATGTTTTTTTTTACTATCAATATCTTGCACGTAATATGTTTTGCATAGAACCATTGTTATGTCTTAATGTTTCTTTTAATTCTAGATATAAAAATTTATTTCCATGGTTAGTACTACGTATAAAAATAATTAGTAGTTTCTTCTGAAGATTAATTAAGACGCCCCAATTAAAATTTAGTACCAGGCCCCCATATTGTCAGCCACGCCTCTGTTAGGTAGCCGACAACTAGCATAAAACATAGTCGGATCCATATGTAAAATTTTAAAGGATTGGTTGTTGTTGTTGTTGTTGTTGTTGTTGTTGTTGTTGTTCTTGTTGAACTAATTTTAAACCATATTATATTAAGCAGTTTTACATATCATGTAAGTTATTAATTTCTTTAGTTACTTGCTATATTTTTGTCATTGGTCATTATTAGATATGATGTATTTTTAAATCAAATTCTTAAATTGTTGCTTTTCCCTCTATTCATACTAATGTCATGACGTTGCAAACTATAAATGAGTTTGCTTATAAAACCCAATTATTACACCCATTTATTTTAAGTCCATCCGCTTACAAAAAGGGTTTTTCGTCTATAAACCTTAAGTTTTATCCCAATGTATTTTTAGACCCATACACTCCGAAAACTATCGCCATGTACTTGCTACAGTTTATTATGAGTTATCATATTTTTTTATTCTAAGTGGTTAGATATATGGTATAGCTTTAAACTAATGTTCAAACCATTTTTTCTTGGCTTTTCTACGTTAATGTCATGGCAATGGACGAGGCAATTTTTGCTTGTTGTCATACTAAAGACACATGAATTAGAGTTTCTCATTAAAAAAAGTGCTCAATTGTTGCATTGATTTTAGAGTAGATAACAATGAAAAGGAAATATACACAACTCACGAAAGAAAGAAGAGACTAAATGGTAAAGGCGAATATAAGCCCACCCTAGTTGAGTGAGGTGACAAATAATATGTAGGGTAAATTATACTAGACACCCAAGAACATTCAGCATTATTTAGTAAACTCCCAGTAACTTTCAAGATCACACTAAACTTTCAATAACTTTTTTAGAAAACCCCCAACATCTTTTGGGTAAATTACACAAAACCCCTAATAACTTTCAAAATGTATTTTTAGGTTGGAGCTTTATTTGGTTTTTTTTTGTGAAATGCAATGTTAATGGGGAGTTTAGTGTGATTTTGAAAGTTATTAAGGATTTACTGCAAAACATTTAAAGTTCTTCGGGGGTTTGGTGTAATTTACCCTTAATACTTATATACATGTGCTCGTGTATCATTGGATATGAATTGGCAAAATGGACTACGAAGAAATAAATCATCCCATCCTCTTTTCCGCGCAAACAGTGTCATTGGCTTAACAAATTCTATTAGCACCTAGAGGGGTTCATTGGTAAAAATTGGAAGTTCAGGAAGCTTTTGTGAGATCAGCAAAATTTAGGGTGTTTGGTAAAAGAAAGGAGTTAAGTAAGGGCATGTTTAGCTAATACTTATTTTTAATTTATTTTATCAGAGTGCAAAGAAGTCTTTTTAACATCAATAAATAAATCTCCTTATAAGCATCAAAAGAATAAATCAGAAATTTCCGACTTATTTTTATTTATTTATCAAGTTAAAAATAAGTAAATAAGTAAACTTTATCAAATACAGTTTCGAGCCCTTATAAGTAAAAACATAGAGACATGCTCCCAGAAGAGCTTCTTTGTCAAACGAAAGCTCTATTGGGCCGTTACCAAGAAAAGCCCGTTTAATGCGCTTATTGGGCTGTAAAATTCGCTTAATCGAGACCCGACCCGTTATATGAAAACCCAAAAACTTGAAAACCCTAATGATGTATGTACCCAATTTGAGACCCGTAACCCTGAGAGCTCTCTTCCCTCCTCCGCCGGCGGCGCTTTGGTTGGTTAGGGTTTGATTTTTTGTTGAAATTGATTTCAATTTAGTTCACATATCGTTTTGATATTTTTTCAATTGATTTTTGTTATTGATCACACATTGGGTATCATGGATTAAGGTATGTTCTTTAATTTATTATTCACGAGTCACATTTTATTGCCCGTAGACCCAATGTAGTTTGGTTTTAGCAGGTAGACCCTCGGAGTGAAATTTCTTTTCGCTCTTTTTCTCCGAGGAAGAAAAAATTGTTTTTTTTTTTGGCAAATACAACCCCCCTAAGAGAAAAGAGTCAAAAAAAAATTCTCACTCAAGTGGTCTATCTGCTAAAATCAAGCTATGGGTGTAATAAAATTCCAAAACGCGATATTATTATTATTCATTTATAAATGGTTGCTGAAATTACGTAGTTAATCTAGTTAATTTTTGATGATAACTGTCAATATTTTCTGAATCCACAAAGTTTTTTTTTAAATCATGCATGTTGTGTTATATGCAAGTAGCTTACTCCTTTGTCGATCTTCTTCTTCTTATTTTTTTTCGGCTAATGGGTATGGAGGGTGGTTCTCTATTCATTTACGTATATTCGAGGGGCTTATGTATTTTTTTTTAATTTCTAGCATGTGACTCATTACTGGTGATGATGATAAAAAGGCCGAACTGACAGCTACCCTGAATTACTTCTGTAGTTTCTGTTGGTGGTAGAAAGATGCAGCTTGCTGTTAAGGTTAGCTGAACCAGTGTAATGACTTAAAAATATGAACAATTTGGATAAGTTAATTTTTTTTGACATGTCATACTTTGATTTGAATGACAAATGCGAAAAAAATCTTGAACTAGATTTGCAAGACGTTCTTTTATAATTTATTTGTTTCAGGCTTTCAGGCTACTTGTTCCAGTTGCAAGGGTTGGGCAGATCGTATAGTGGTTATGTTATATTGCGTAACTTTGCCAGTGTTACCCTTGAGTACCCTTGAGTTTTTCAAGAGTTGACGAGATCTGGTCAAATATTTCACAGTTTTTTATTTAACCTTTAAAATAGATATATTGCTGTGTTTGTTGAATATCCTACTTTTTCCTTTAATTTTACTGATAGTTGTATCTTATTTTATTTAGTTTTGTTTGTTCTTCTCAACACTATTTTCTTCATCCAAACATATCAATTTTTAAATAATGGAATTTAATAGCTACTGCATCATATTTTGTACAAATATCACAAATGGCTTTCATAACGTAGAGTCAGTAAAAGGCATAATCCTCAAGAAAGACTTGTTTCTTTGTACCTCTGTTTCTGTGTGTACGGTTTACAAACAGAAAATGCTTTCTTTTTTTCTTGATTTCTCTTGTTATCATGTACAAGAAACTAATTCCCCCTTTGTGCTGTTTATTTCTTTATTTATTGAGATACACTATGCTATATAATTGGAAAGTCATTCGATATGATCTAGGTTATGTGCTTGAGGCAGAAGATTAATAAGGTTATATCTTTGTTTGTTTGTTTGTGGGCACTGTTAGCTTTCTTGCTCACTCTTATGTTACCCAAGTAATTGGAGAGGAGAGCAGTTTAATTTCTTGGTCATTTCTCTTTTTGTTCCTTTTCTTTCGAGTGGATTAGGGATTAGTTAATGGATGTGGGATTTGTTACTGGTGATGATGGCATAAAGACCAAACTTATGCCTCGTTTAGTACGTGGGAATCGGATCAAGTTAGGATGGAATGGAGCAAGGAACGAAATGGAATGAATCCTCATTTTCATTCTCATTCTCATGATTGGGTGCATTTAGAGAATGAAGTGAGAATGAAAATCTTTTCATTTTTGGTGTGGATAATTAATAAGTAATTTGAGAATATTTAGTATGAATTTAATATTTCCATTCCCACTTAAGTGAGAAGCATTTCATACCAATTCATTGGACATGCCCATTCCCACGAAATGTAAAAAAAGTGGAGTGGACATTCTAGCTTCCAAAAGTATGGTGTGCTTGGTGTGCATGAATGAAATGTGGGAATAAGCATTCCATTTCTTCTCATTCCTGTGTACCAAATGAGGCCTTATAGCTATCCTGAAATTTTATTCATTTTGGCTATTTTGCATATATACCCCCTTAACTCATTTGCTGATTTACCTCAAATCTATATATTTGCTAATTTATCTCCTAAATCTCCCATGTAATATGAAAAAAGTCTACTGTTTCAGTTGGCGGTAGAATGATGTGGCTGGCTATAAAGGTTAATATCTGAACCAATTGTGGCCAGAGGCTGTGGTTGACTTGTCTCCTTGTTTTGTTGCAATGTTCGGTGGGAAACAAGAATTTAAAATATGATGGATGCTTTGTTATTGTTCTTAATATAAACTTGTTCAACCAAGTTGGTTCAGATTGCTAGTGTTGTGCAGAAAAGTCGTACACTTCATTTTCTCTTATTATCATGTATAGGTGTCAGGTGAAATGAATCTTGTGTTGTATTTTTAATACTATCAATTTGATTGCCTTCACTTGTAAACTATTACATCTTACTTTTGTTTTTAAGCTGTGAAATATTCTGACATGTTTCAGATTCGAGTTGATCTTGTAACGTCTATGTGATGTCTGATGTGAACTTGTTCAGGAAATGTGATGTGAAATATCCTTTCGTTGTGGCTTAATATTGCTTATTACAGTTTCATTTCATCTTTTATTCTATTGGTTTTTTTATTGAATATGTATTGTGTATCATGTATGCTAGTGAGTACAATAAGTTATGTTCTTTAATCTATTACTCATGGGTCACATTCTATGGACTCGTGTTTTCACGTCTAGCTAATTTCAGTTTTGTTTGCAATCAATCATATTATTTTTGTTTTTGCTGCATTTACTTCATTCTAGTGTAGAATTTCTTATGATCATAAAGTTGCCATTATTAATCATATCACAGAAAAATTTTCTTTACCTTTCAATGTTTATTGTCAACATTTTCTGAATCTACAGATTTTTTTTTACCATGTATGTTGTATCACTTGCTAAGCGCATATTGGTGTGCACCGTATACTATGTGACATGTATTATAACATTGATGAAATTTGAGAAAAACATCTGTGTGGTTTCATGGAAAATTTTCAGTCCCATCTGTTTTGCTGGTGCCATTTCTTATGTTTTTTTTGGCTACTTTTCCTGTTATTAACTTGTTTTCCCTTTGCTAATCTTCTTATTTTCTAGCCTACCGGATGTGGGGAGATGTTATCTGTTCATCTATTTTACATTATGAGGGTTTTGTGGATTTTTTTAATATATGCTTTGGGTGTGTTTACTGGTGATGAGGAAAAAAAGGCCGAACTTACAGCTACCCTGAAATTAAATATGTAGTTTCTGTTGGAGGTAGAATGATGCAGCTTGCTGTAAAGGTTATAGCTGAACCAGTTGTGTGACTTGAAATTTGAACAATTTGGATAAATTGTTTTGCTAACATATAACATATTGTTTTGATGTTACAATTGCGGAAAATATAAACATCTTAAACTAAAGGTGTGCTAGATGCTCTCTTGTATTTTATTCAGCCTACTTGTTCCTGTTGTGCAAGGGTTGAAGAGATTGCCCTAGATTACCTATATCTTTTGGTTTATGTTGTAGCTCAAAGCTTTGCTAATGGTTACCTTTGGAGTTTTTCAGGAGTTGAAGAGATCTAGTACATATATTCAGTGATTTCTTTTGATTCCAACTTTAAAATAGATTTATTGCCATTTTTGTCAAATGCCCTACTTCTTTCCTTTAATTCTACTGTTACTTGTATCTTACTTCATTCTGGTTATTCTTCTTAACACCATTTTCTTCATTAGATGATATAAATTTTTATAAAATTGATTTCATAAGCTATTAGAGACCTTCTTTGTACAAATATCACAAATGCCTTTAGTAATGTGTTGTCATGCATGCTCCGACACCCTGCTCACAGAGGATGTGTAGTTCAAATTTTCCTTATTCGCAAATTTATGTCCAATCTAGATATTTGCTTATTTATCTCCTGAAGCTTAACCCTTCTGTTTTTTCGGTGGTAGAATGACGTAGCTTGCTTCAAAGGTTAGTATCTGAACTGGGGGATTTGAAATACTGACAATTTTGGTTACTTGTTTAATCGACACATGGTCTTTTTGCTGTGATATTTGGTGGAAACTGATTTTTTCTAATTGACGATGCTTTGTTTTTGTAGTTAATATAAACTTGTTTCGGTCGAGCGTGTTCATATTGCCAGTGTTGTGCAGAAGAGTGGGATGGATCTTATTGTTGAGCGTTTCCCATGTCAATTTGATAACCTTCATTATGTGACTAGCCGTTTTAAGTTTGTTTTCAAGTTGTGAAATATTATTCTGACACATCTCTAAGTTTGAGTTATGTCTTACAATGTCTATATGTTGTTTCCTTTGAACCACTGTAGGCAATGTGATGTATTATTATGTTTAGTGTGGATACGTCTCTGATATGCATTTACGGTATCTTTGCGGTTTCTAATATTGTTTTGGCATCACACAGCAGTAATTTTTTTTAATATTCGGTGTGGCTATTTATTAGAAATTGTTCATGTACCGGTTTTTTGTTATCTTCAAAGCTACTACGATTATCCAATCCCTCAATACATGTCATTTTGTCTTGTCGGTTTAATGAGGTATTTTGTCAAAATTTTATCATAATATTTAAAATCGATCATGAAGAAAGTTACTACACTTGTTGCGCATATAAGCTTATGGAAGAACAATTTTTCAAAACAGCCTCATTTAGATTTTTATTTTTCAAAATCGACTGTTTTTTCTTTTATTTATCAAAACCGACCCGATTTTGTGATTAACAGTCTAATTACTATCCTAAATAGTCGGGGTTGCCAACCCCGACTATTTAGGACATTAATTTTTAGGGTTTAAGGCCTTTAATTAGGGTTTAACACTATTCTAAATAGTCGGGGTTGGCAACCCCGACTATTTAGGATAGTAATTAGCCTGCTAATCACAAAATCGGGTCGGTTTTGATAAATAAAAGAAAAATCGGTTGATTTTGAAAAATAAAAAACTAAATGGGTCTGTTTTGAAAAATTGTTCCTTATGGAATTAAAATCATGGGACAAAGATCTCCTCAGAACATTAAGACAACTCAAGTCTCGTCAGACAAGAACTTTGTCATTCATTGCTAAGCCTAATAGGCATAAAGAGAGCGAAAAAACTTTTTGGCTCGCGGACCAACCGCGAGCCCCAACTCGCGTGAGAGGAACAGGGGGGTGGGCCCCCCACTGCTGGGGGCCCACCCCCTGTTCCTCTCACGCGAGTTGTGGCTCGCGGTTGGACCGCGAGCCAAATAGCGGGGTTCTAAAGAGAGAAAGCCATGAGAGGCGATAATGGCAGTCCTTTGCCCTTGAAAGTTCAAAAATTTATAGAAAGCACTTCCGAAAATTGAAATTAACATTGAGTACTTGTTTGTAAGTTTTGACTTTTTCGGGTGTTTTCTGTAAAATTTGAATCTCTGAGGGTGTTCTTTATAATTTTTGAAATGCTATGGTATTTTTTGTAAATTCTAAAACTTTCAGGTAATTGTATTAGGTATCCGGATCCAATAACCTTTAAGGCAAAGGTTTTGTTTATCGGGCCCGATAGACAATTTTAATGGGCTGGATTCAAATCGTCTAGCATGTTACTGTGACGGAGCCGGGTGGACTTCGTTGAAAAGTTAAATTATTTCTTAAGGGACGCCCCCCTATAATTTATAATTTATAGTTTTGTACCCACCACATTCATTAATTGTTCTAAATAACACCCAATTGATACACAAATCCATCAATTTTGTTCATAGTTTACTTGTGTAAAATGCAAATATGAAGTTTTGCAGGCATAATTTAAAAATGGGAACTCTTCATGTTAATCTTTTTAAGTCATTAATATCTCCAAATTAGTCTACTCAAGTATTTTGCTATAAATATGAGGGCGGGCGGGGTGGCGCGGGGGGGCCGAACCTTGAATTTATTTTGTTAAGATTAAGGTTTATAACTTCCAAATATGAAATCCGACCAAAACAGGTCGAGTTATGTTAGGATCCTTTTATCAGGCACCATTACCAACTTAAAAACCCATGCTAAGTATAATCCTAATTACAAAACCACTATCAAAGGAAAATACAAACAACAATTTTGGACAAATCTAAATTCCCTTCAGAACACGTTTCATGCGTGGAATATGATTCGCGGAATAAACAGTTATCTAAAAAGAATAAAAAAAAAATGTACATTAAAATTTCTATCAGCTCCCCAAAAATTGTCTCGAAATAAGTCTCCTAAATAATTGAAATAGCTATCGTCGCCCTTAATTTTATAAATCATTTCGAAATAATTCCTTCGGTCAAGACCAATGGTAGTAAAGTAAAAAGAACTGTGGGATCTAATAGAAATTTCAACAATGCGAGGGACTGGTTTGGGAACTCTTTTTCCGACGCCATATTTGGTAAGTTATTGAGTTTTAGGAAACATTAGTTCGGCTACATAATTAAACCCAATAACGGCAACACTCAGCGTAAACCTTCCGCTGCCTGAGCTTCGTTTTGGCGGGAGTTTCCAACGAACAGATGATCTCAGCCGTCCATCGCATCTCCTGATCACCGCCATTATAACACTCTCCCTTCTCCTCTCTGTACTTATATCCCCCAAATCTCTCAAAGTCTAGGGTTTTCAATCCGGCTGCCGATCGCTCGAATTTCAAAACCCTAGCCCTAAATTCTCTTCTCCTTCAATTTCAAAGCTCCCATCTTTTTCTGCCTCCCAGAGCTAGGGTTTCTTCAACATCGATCCATCATGGCAATGCTGCCTTACCCTGGAATCCAGTTTAAACCCAGTGATGATCTGCTGCTGACCTTCTACCTCCCCAAGAAGATCGCCGGAGGACGAGATTCGCTCGAGATCCCAAGTTACCTTATCTGCGATTTCGATGTATATTCGACCGAACCCTGGAATCTCCCAGCTCGTAAGTAATGTCATTTCTCTGTTTTGTGATTTCTTTCTAGCTTTTAGAGTTCAAGAACTCGACTTTATTTCTAGTTTTCAGGGTTCAATGTGATTTACAGTTTGTTTGGTTGACATACATGGAACCATGCACATTGGTCTTTCCGGTTTAGGAAACATGGGATAGAGATTTACCAAGTTCTCTGATCATAACCACTCAATTATTTCCGGATTTACCAAGAAATTGCTTATCGCCGTACTGTTTAGTTGACATACATGGAACCTTGAGTTTTTTTTTTTAGTACAGCCATCTAGTCTCAGTAAAGTTTTAATTGTTTGGTGTCGTATAAGAAGAGTAAAACTCATCCCTGTTTCCTCATATTCCTTTTGTCAAACCGGCAAATTGATGTTTTTTTCTGTGTCTTCTTGACTGCTCCGAGGTCTAAAATGAACACCGTGTTTGGAAAGTTTTCTTTAGTAAATTGCTGTTTTTTAGTCTCAGTGAAGTTTTATTTCTTCCCTTGCTAGTATAGCCTGATTGGTATCTCCTCTCAATTGCATATTTCTAATATTGTTGAGATAACTCCCTTTTAGTTTTCCTATTTCAAGAATCACCTTGCGTACTTTGCTTGTTACTTGCTAGTTTGAGTTTGTCTCGGCAAAATTTTCTGTTGTTTTCGTTCTGACACACTTGATGCATGGTTTGCAGGGGATTTTCGATACCTAACCGATAACAAAGACATGCTTTTCTTCTCCCCGAGACACGCAATCAGCAGCAGAAAAGGTACGGCAAAAAATGTGAAGCGTACCGCTGGCTGTGGTTTCTGGAACGGAAAAGGCAAAGAGCAAGATGTCTTCTGTGGATCTCGACGTGTTGGGTATAAGACGCCGCTGACTTTTGTCAGTACCGAGGGGGGGAAAAGGAGGAATACCAACTGGATCATGCACGAATTTCATCTCAAGCCTGCTCAGAACAGTAACAAGTTTGAGAGCATGGTAATCTGCAGAATTCATAAGAAGAAAACGAAGGAAGACAGAGAAGGAGGGGCAGATGCAAACTCCGGTGTTGCAGCTTTTATTGAACAAGAAGAACAAGGAACAGCATCAGCGGCAACACATGTAGAAGAAAGGCCTCTAAAGAGGAAGCGGGTGGAGGCTTCATCATCCTTACCGCCCTCGTCATCATCATTGCCTGCATTTCTTCCTTGCAAAGAAGCAGAAGCCTTCGATCGGTTGATTTCAACAATGGATGAAAAGCGGCATACTGTTTTCGAACAAGAGGAAGAAGTGGATGGAAGGCAGGTGACTGAGATGTTGCTTAAAGAACACGAAGCAATGACAAATCATTTTAAGGCAGCTGCTGAATCTGGTGCTGCTACTTCTATTTGTGAACAAGCAGCGACATATGTAGAGGACAGACTTCTAAAGAGGAAATGGGTTGAGGGATGCAGCAACTTCCACGATACTGAGAAAACTTCCACGGTTAACACTGAAGCACCTTCTCAGCCCTCGTCATCATCTCCATACTTGTCATCAACATGGGTCTGCGCTCCTGCTTTAGATTCTTATGAAGCATCATCCTCATTGATCGACATTCTTCCACCAACATCGCAGGATCATTGGACATGGGAGGATTTGGAAATTGACGTTGGTACTGTCTCTTATTTGGATGAATTGATGGAATGTTTCAGTGACTCTTGAATTCTTATTGTAACTGTTATACTGTCATTTTTTGGTAATAAAGTATTTTTTCCATTCTTTTCACTGGGTATAATCTGGTTTGTTGTTTCTTATTTTGCTTATCCTGTGCTTCTTAGTATTTGGAGGTATGTCAGTTCACAAGAATTGTTCAGTTTCTGATGATAATCACTTTTTTCCTTTAATTTATGCATTTTGAATGAGCTGATTTTTGACATGTTGGAGCCAAGCTTGAGTTCTATGTACATGCAGATACTCCCGGTAGGAATTCTTTTCTTGTTGAAAGTGCAGTGTGTGCTGCTCATGGAGCTACTAATAGTGTTCATGACATTTGTTGTCAGCCGGGATAAAATGCAACCGGTGTTGATCGCTATTTTATCCACATTTTATAAGATAATTTCATGGTCTTACTAATTATGTAGAGAACGAATGTGCTCGTTGAGAAAAAATTATGTGCTGCATTTTGATATTGGAAGTGACTCTCCAGCTTTGGATCTCATAAGTAATTTTCACATCATTTAGATAATAGTAATCTATAATTATGCATGGAGGGCTGTCCACGACATGTGATAATGATTAATCAAAATTGTCCCATGGCACAGTAGGCAAATGAAAGACAATGTAAAATTTGATTCAATAAAGAAATTCCTCTCAAATACCCTTTTTTCCTGTAAATTCTTTTAAAATACTATTCAAGGTTATGAAACCTTCAACTCAAGGCTCATCAAGCATACAAAAATAGGAAGAAGTGTTTCTCGGCTACAAAAGAAAGAAGTATATCACATACGTCAGAGTACTTTTTTGTATGCTCTGACAGTGATGGAGTACTCTGACAGTGATGGAAAGACATTTATACTAGAAATTGGTCGGATATATGTAATGCATGAATCTGGCACTAAACTACATGTATCAGCTTTCTGACACGGGACTGATACTTTGTAGCAATCATGTATTACAAATGCTAACAGTTTAGAAACTAGAAACATCTAAGTGTGTAGATTACTGTAGAAAAGTTTGAAGTAAGAATCCACGAACTTCTCATCTACTCAACACTGTTCTTTTTATTAGCTTCAGGTGAAACTGACAGTATAAAAATGCATTGCAGAGAGTTTGAGCAACAAACATGCTGAGATTTAGCATACATTATTCGAGTTTAATTGTAACAGGTCCTTTTGAAAATCAGTCTATCACACTACAGAAAATAAAAAACTGAATTTAGAAGTACACTGAGACAACTGAGACATTACATTAGTAGAATCATTATACAGTCAAAACATTTACATAAGCTCTTGCTAAAATTCAATTCAAGACACTAACCAGGTACACAACACATTAAAAACAAACCCTGGGGTGTTTTTTTTTTCTTTTTCACTGTATGGGAATGAATAAAACAACTCAACTTATCTACCAAATCAAAGAGTGGTTTTTTTTTCTTTTTCACTGTATGGGAATGAATAAAACAACTCAACTTATCTACCAAATCAAAGAGTGGTGATCAATTTTAGGCCTCAGTTTGATAAACTTGTTAATGCGGCATCCACGCTTTACTTCAGTCTTCTTTTTGCTCTGGCTTTGTACTGGTTGTAGGTCATTCATGTCAACCACCATAATCTTTCTCCTTTTCTTTGCTGCATTATGAAATTATAGAGCCAACCAGTTAGTTTCTAATATGTACCAAAAAATAGAGTACAATCAAATAAATAGTGTGAAGAAACATACCTTCTTCTGCATCATTGTATCCTTCTCTTAGCTTCCTCTTTGAAGCCTCCAGTTTGTCTTCATACTTTAAGGCACCAAGATTTGGTTTTTGCTTCATGTCAGCGTCATCTTTCCCCTCTGTAATATTTTCCTCTCTCCTCGTCTCACTGACATCTTTCTTCTCAACGACATTTTCTTCTATCTGAGAATTGAATGGTACATGCAGATTAAATTAGTCCACTACAAAACATCAATATAAATGAAATTAAAGGTAATATTTAGAGTATAATTAGTACCTTCGAGTAATCCACTGAGATAGTTTGTATAGCATCTGGTGGAGGAAAAGGAATCCCACATAGAAAAGAAAGGTCTTCCTCTTTTACGGGACATTGAACGACAAAGACTCCAGTGGTATCTGCAAATTGTGACCACTGATTAATTACAAGAAACTAAAAAAATCACAGGAAAAAAAGTAGAAGATGAAATCTTAACAGTCAAACATTCAGTTCCATTCATCCGCTCATTTGAAAGAACCTTCAATCTCCTATAGCCAAAGATTGAAACCAAGAAAAAGAACAGGAAATCTACTACAAGATTGATGCACATCAAACGTTAGTTCCATAAAGTATATATATAGAAAGAAAAACATATTCATTAAGTTCACTGGAGCGGAAGTCAATCTACAAAGAACAAACTTAGATGTATACATATAAAAAAATTTAAGTATGTTAGGGTACACACCAACAAGAACGTCTCAAACGGAGACGCAAAAACACACCCAAGCTGACACATTCAACCACTGTACTCACAGATATAACGTGGTTCACTCTTATGAGCTACTCCACGGTGCATCGACGACGCCCAATTTCTTTATACTCCAAAAGAAAAGGATCAAGAAGAACACCCTCTCTTGATCAAGATACACTCCAAGAATTCTCACAAACTCTCTCTATGTTTTCTCTCTTACTCTTCTATAAGAGGAGTTATTTCTGGGATGAAATTTTCTAAAGAGTTTGGGCCCTATTTATAGTATTTGAGAAATACTATACACAAATAAAATATTATCGGTAGGACCCGCCCCCCCCCGCCACTAATAATATTTTATTGTGGGACTCACATCCTTTTTTCTTTTTCAAATATTTCGGCCACCGAAAGAAGGGGGGTCAAAGATTATAGGCGCTAATAATCTCCCACTTGAAGATTTGATTGAGTATCAATTATATCTTCACACCATTCTTAATAGCATCATCCCACTTAGAGATCCATCAAAGATGGTAGGCGCTGACGTTCTCAACGGAGGCCATATAAGGCTGCATACAGCTTCACCTTCTCGAGTGGAATTGGCTTGGTTAGCATATCAGCTGGATTATATCTCGTATCAATCTTTACAAGTTTGAACTCGTTCCTGCTTTTCCATCTCCGTATAGCATGATGCTTCACGTCAACATGCTTGGTCCGAACATGGAATGCATCGTTCTCTGACAAGTGAATGACACTCTGACTGTCGTAGTGGATGAAGTATTTCTCAAAGCTTACCCCAAGCTCGAGAAGAAAAGCTTTCAACCATAGCAACCCTTTTGCTGCCTCTGCTGTAGATACGTACTGTGCTTCGATTATCGATAAAGCCACAATATCCTATAACTTGGATCTCCAACTTATCGCTCCACCATCCAAGATGAAGATGTAGTTGCTTGTGCTCCTTCTTGAGTCTATGTCCCCGGCGTAGTCTACATCACAAAATCCCTCTACCTACAAATCTGCCCTGCAATACTCAAGACAACGGTCGGACAAGCAACTTAAGTAGCGTAGAAGCCACTTGACCACACCCTAATGTTGCTTCCCCAAATTACTCATGAAGCGGCTCACAACTCCCACTCCTTGTGTAATATCTAGCCCCGTGCACACCATCGCATACATCAAACTCTCAATGACATAAGCGTATGGTACGTTGGCCAATGAACTCATGCCCTTCAGCAGTATCTGGTGCTTGGGTCTTCGATAGCTTGAAATGGCTTGCAAATGGTGAGCCCATCGGTTTAGCTTTCTTCATGCCAAGCCTTTTAAGAATCTTCTCAATATAGACCTTCTGAGACAACCTCAACTTTCATGTTGATCTATCTCTGATGATCCTCATCCTAAGAATCTGGTTTGCTAGACCCAGATCCTTCATCTCAAAGAACTCGGAGAGACGTTCTTTGAGTTCTTTAATGCAGGCTAAGTCGAGCCCAGCAATCAACATGTCATCAATATAAATAAATAGTATCACATATGATTGACCATATCTCTTGATGAAGCAGCAGTGGTCTGTGTCGCATTTGAGAAAACCGTTCTCTTCCATAAAGTTCTCGAACTTCATATACCACTGTCGCGGAGCTTGCTTTAGGCCATACAAGCTCTTGCGCAGGCGACACACGAGACCCTCCCTTCCTCGTTCCTCGAAGCCCACTGGTTGATGCATATAGATCTCTTCCTTCAAATCTTCATGAAGGAATGTCATTTTTATATCCATCTACTCTAGATGGAGAACTCGAACTGCTACAATGCTAGTCCGAATTGTGGTCAACTTGACGACGGGAGCGAAAAGTCAGAATAATCTATCCCTGCTTTTCGCTCATAGCCCTTCACTATAAGCCTCGCCTTGTAGCATCTCTGTCCATCGGCTTCATCATTGACCCGATAAATCCACCGATTGCGAAGAGCCTTTCACTACAAGCCTCACCTTGTAGCATCTCTGTCCATCGGCTTCAAAAATTACGGGGTTTTACAGTATGTATACCTAACTTTCTCCTCTTTTCCTCTTCATCCCTCATGTTCTGAGCAACAGCCACCCCCCTCGAAACCCTAGGAATTCTATCTTTCTTTGGGAGAAGATTTGTGAAGCAGGGTTCAAGAGGAGGGTGAGATCTATGGCTCTTGTGAAGAAGGATCGAATTTTCTTTCGTTCGACAGATCAAAATGTTTTCAAAGGTGAGTTTCATCTCCTACAAACTCATCCTCGTTTTCTTGGTTTTTATTGGATTTTAAAACCTATTTTATGTGTAGAGACCACTCCCTTTAATTTGTACAACGTAAAATTTTAATTATTCTGATATAAAGGTTATGAAACGAATTCTTTAATTAGGGTTGAAGATTTGAAGTAAATCTAACATGAGATTCTTGCTAATCTAGTTGCTTTCATGATGAATTTACAAACATAACCATGTTAGGGATATTAGATCCCCATCAAATTTTATATTTGTGTTTTCATATAACAGAGTAAACTGTAATCATATTAAATCAAGTTTTTATATATGACTTTCTTTGAAAAAATTTTACTTCGGTGAATTTTAGAGAAAACCTACATTTTTGTATCTGTCACTTGGCCGGTCGACTGATCAGAAGGACCAGCCGACCAAATTGATGTTCTCAGGAAAACTAGAAAATTCCCTCTAGTCAGTTGATTGATCAAAATAATCAGTCGACCGATTGGTCAGCAGAAAACTGAAGATTTTCTCTCTGGTCGGTTGATAGAACATATGTATCGGTAGATTGATCAAGGATGGTTGCTTGTGCATGGTTGTGCACGTCGCCGCCCGATCGACCGATGAGATGTGTTGGTCGACTGACCTGGTGCTGTATTGAAAATGCTGATTTTCCACATGATTTTGATCGCGAACACGAAGTACGAGCCACACATTGATTCATGTACGTGACCATGAGAGGGCACGTACTGGGTTTGAGCACGCACGAGCCTTTTTATGTACGAAGTCTAATGGTTTGTGTTCGTCATGATAGGGAGTGATGATTGTTTCGGTTTATGATAGTTAGGGATGCTTGAGTGCGTTAGTCCGTGCACCATAATGAGAATACCATCGACTACACTCTGAGTGCGTTAGTCTGTGCATCGCAATAAGAACATGGTCGACTACACTCTGTGATGCATCATTGTCTTAATGATTGAGTGCACATGTCCGTACACCACATGATATAGCGGACGACTGCCTTCGAATGTGTTAGTCCGTGGGCCGCATGATACTGTGGATGACTACACTCTACATATGTAGGACATCCAGGACTCAAACAAGTACGATTTGTTGACATAGTCCAACATTTGACATTCTTATGCGGCAATGTATACTTTGGCGAGGCTTTCACAGTATTTGTAGATTTGTTTCTGGGCCACCTACCTAAGGGTAGCATGAGATACTATGATACGACATATACGACTTATTTTGGATGAGATGATGATGGTGTATTTTCTTTTGTTGATTGTTTATTTATAGGATTTGGAGTTGATATTTAGCGATCCACAATTTGAGATACATGGTATATATATGAGGGTTTCTTTATTTGGATTATTTCGCTTGATGTACTCATCTCATATTGTGGATTTCTAAATCTTAACTCCTCTTAGTTCAAGATATTTAATTTATATATTTATATATATTTTGATCAGTATTTTATACACCCCCTTCACCCTGGGGGCGATGGAGATATTCTCGTTAGCACTTTGACGCTCGTTGTTTCTATCTTTTTAGGTAGCGAGTCAGGGGTTCAGAGAGCCATAGGTTGATGGTGACTCAGTATAGATTTTCGTCATTTATAAGTAGCTAGTTAGTGCTCCATATTAGACTATATGTGTTTTTAATATTTTAGAGGTGTATTTCATTTTGGAGTTTGAGTGCCTTAGTACTGTTTCTGTTGACTCCTTTATTTAGATATATTCTATTTTTATTTTAGTTTATCAGATGTACTCTCTTTTATTCTGTTGGGACATGATTATAATTATTGATGAGTATCTCTTCTTTATATTGTGTACCTTGTGTTGTCATCTTTATTCTATCTGCTTGTACCCTCACTTCTTTATTTTGACATCTGCTAGAGTGATATTAACGTGATGGTGAAACATGTTATTGCACAGTATGGGTGCATGACATGTTTGATATCTCTGGGTTCACCTTGCACTGCAACTATGTGTGAAAACAAGGGTGTCACATTCATCAAATATTATAATTATTATGAAATATAACCCATAATATTAATTTTTTCATATTAAACAAATGTAAATGTATTATGTGTACATTAAAATTTAAGGTTTTCATGAGCAATAATCCAAGGATTTTTGACAAATTTTCTCACTTTGAACTAATACGAGTTTATTATATGTACATTAAAATTCAGGATTTTCAAGAGGGGATTTTCAAGAATTTTTATTCTTTTTGAATGAAACAATTTTATACACTTACACAAATATCTGTGATTTTAATGAGCAATAGCTAATAATATTTTATTAATTTTTGTTCATTTTAAATGAAAGAAAATTTATTATGCGTACATTAAAATTCACGATTTTCATTAGTTAAAATCTACAGTTTTTTTAAATCTTGTTCATTTCAAATGAATGCAAAGTTCATATGTGTTTCATCAACTACAACCTATGCCTTTTGTTAATTTTAGCTCATTTTGAACGAATGCAAATTTATCATGTGTTCTTAAAAATTTGTGACTTCTTAAAAATTTGTGACTTACAAATTTTACGAGTTGTAACTTACAAATTTTGTTAACTTTTATTGGTTTTAAGCGAATGCAAGTTTATTTTGTGTGCATCAAAAATCTAGATGCTTATGAGCTATAACCCATGATTTTTATTATTTTTTATTTGTTTTGAACGAACGCCATTTTATTGTGTGTACATTAGAATTTGTGATTTTTGTGAGCAAGA